CTTCCTCCTCCTCATCTTCTACGTCCTCCTCCTCCTCCTCCTCCTCCTCCTCCTCCTCCTCCCCGTCCTCCAAATCCTCCTGGTTCCTGGTTCCTGGTGGCGTGAGATCTTATCGGTTGCAGCCTCCCCCCCTGGGCCAGTCGGCCCTGGGGGGCTGATCAAACCAAACAGCCAGGTGACATTGTCACCAGCTGTGGCGACGGCAAGCAAGCCCTCCTCCTCCTCCTCCTCCTCCTCCTCTTCCTCCTCTTCCTCCTCTTCCTCCTCTTCCTCCTCGCTCCTCCTCCTCCTCCTCCTCCTCGCTCCTACACGGCGCCGCCGCCGAGGGTCGCCGAAAGCCACCGATGGGCGCCGCTCATTGCCGCCGCGCTCGTGTGAGGCGCAGCGCCCGCGGGCCTGGTCTATGTTGCGGCTCTGGTTGGATCTCGCTTGCCTCCTGGCCGCGTGGGGGGCTTCCTCGATCCTCCTCCTCCTCCTCCTCCTCCTCCTCCTCTTCGGTCCTCCTCCTCCTACTCCACGATCCTCGTCTTCCTCCTCCTTATTCGAACTCCTCCCTCCTCCTCCTCCTCCTCCTCCTCCTCCTCTTTCTCCTCCTAGGCTTTGTCATCAACCTCCTCCCCCTTCCCCCTCATTCCTCATTTTCCTCCTTCCTCTCCCTCCCCCCTGCCCTCTCGCTCCGTCCCCTTCACACCACCCCCCCCCTATTACCTTCTTCCTCCTCCTCGCTGCTCCTCCTCCTCCTCCTCCCCCCTCCCTCCTCCTCCTCCTCCTCCTCCTCCTCCTCCTCCTCCTCCTCCTCCTCCTCTTTGTCCCTTCCATCCTCATCACCAGTTCTTCCTTCTCTCCGCCGCCCCATGTCAGCATGGTCGTGCTGCCATTTCTCCCTCCTCCCGCCTGCGGATCCCCCCCAACACCTCCTCATTCGCAACCTCCTCTTCGTCCTCTCTTCTCTTCACTATTCCTCTGAGTCTCCATCCGCCTCCTCTCCCTCCTCCTACCCCTTTGAGCCTGGCTGCACCACCTCAATTAAAGCATTCACCTTCTTTCTTCCTCCTCCTCCTCCCTCTTTGTCTCGATTTCCCCCTTCTCCTTCGTCTTGAGCCCCCATGAGTACCCTCGTGGCCTCTCCCCCTCTCGTTGGTTTTCTTTTTCTTAGGCCCTCCTCTTCCTCCTCCTCCTCCTCCTTCTCCTCCGCCTGCTGATCCCCAATTTTCCTCCCCTCCTTCCGGAAACACGTGGACACGATCCTCTCAAGCATCCGCTACAGGTGTTCCTCCCCCAGCTCCCCCCCCGTCAATCTTCCCCCCCTTTCCTCCATCGCCCCTCGTGCTTGCACTCTGCTACGGAACAAGAGAGAAGACCTCGGACTGAACCCCTCCGCGGCCATGCCAGTGGGTTCGGCTTTGCGTGCCCGCGACATCACCGGCCACGTCGGGTTCCGCGGAGGAGGGGGAGGAGGACGAGGAGGAGGAGGAGGAGGAGGAGGAGGAGGACGAGGAGGAGGAGGAGGAGGAGGAGGAGGAGGAGGAGGAGGAGGAGGAGGAGGCACGCAGCGGCGACCGGTGACAGCCCGTGCGGCGACCTCAGCGTCCCCCCCCAAACAAAAGCCTCCCTGCACGGCCCGTCCCTGCACGGTCTTGGGGACCTCGGAAGCTCTCGGGCCGCTCGGGACATCCTCGGAGAGCGGCCCAACTTCAGAGGCGACGATAGGGGCGAATAGCCCAGGGGAGAGCAATCCATGTAACCCCAGGAAGCAAACAGTACCTCCCCCGGCGATATCGCTAGCACAGAAAATAAAATAAATAAGTATTTTGGGCGGCGCCCATCGTTAGCACATAACACATAAAAAACACAAATGCAATTAATTTGCCCCCCCGGGCCCGAAGCTGGCGGCAACGTGAGGCGACAGCCTGAAGAACCAATGCGCACGAACGCCTGCCAATGGGTTCCCACCTTGCTAGAACACTGGGAAACTGACGCGCATCGGAAATCAAAGGTACATCAAAACTGACAAACAATGAAATCACCGCAAGCAACTATACTTGAAATGACCCCCCAAAGGAATCCCAGAGGAATCTCAGAAGGAAGCCCACGCAGAATCTCAAAGGAACCCTATTGGAAATTCAAAGTAATCTCAAAGGAGCACAACAGAAATCGCAAAGGCATCTCAGCGGCAGCTCAAACGAACCACGAAGGAATCTAAGGAATCTGGAAAACGCGGGCTCGCGTGGACGTAAGCAAACCCTATTGCGACCGCAATAAGGTTTTTTTTAAGGGGGTCCTATGGGAGAGTCCACGGAGGGATATCGCAGACGGATTCCGCGACCCCCCCCGCGATATGTTAGCACATTTATTGAACATAGAATAATCCACAGGCGCTGGAGGTCGATGTGATGTTCCCTTCAGGGATTGTCGAAGGAATGTCAAAGGAACTTGAAAGGACCCCCAAAGGAATCCCATAATAATATCACAAGGAATCCCACGCATAAAATCAAATGAACCAATGGAAGTTCAAAGCAATCTCAAAGGATCCCAACAGAACTCGCAAAGGCATCTCAGCGGCAGCTCAAACGAACCACGAAGGAATCTAAGGAATTTGGAAAACGCGGGCTCGCGTGGACATAAGCAATCCCTATTGCGACCGCACTAGGGAAATTTACTATTTCAGGGGATCCTACGGGAGAGTCCACGGAGGGATATCGCAGACGGATTCCGCGAACCCCCCTGCGATATGTTAGCACATTTATTGAACATAGAATAATCCACCGGCCCCGGATGTCGATGTGATGCTCCCTTAAGCACTGGGGCATCAAAGGGACATGACCGGAACCTCAAGGGACCCCCAGAATAACATCAAAGGAACACCAGAGGAGTCTCAAAAGGAGTCCCAAAAGAATCACAATGGAAACGGCAAGGAATCTCAAAAGAAGCCAATCGGAGCATCAAAGGAATCTCTGAGGAATCTCGCAGAAACGCACAGAATCACAGGAAGCGACTCTGGGCAGGTGTGCCTTGTCGCTGGGCTCTGGACTGCAAGGGGCCCGGGCATTCAGAAGCTTGTGGAGGCCTTTCTGGATGCCTCCTGGGAACCTCTGGGGACCTCCCCTCCGCGGACCTCTGGTGACCTGCGGGGGATATCGCTTCCGTCCCGGCCCCGGTGCCGGAAGCGTTATAATTTCCTCTGATGAGGGGGGGGGTTTAATGATTGCTTCCCGGGTTTATTCAAATGCGCCGGTGGTCTATGTCTTCAAAATGGCTCCCGGGCGAATACGTGTAATGCCCGCCCCTCGGCTGTTCGCCCATATCGTCGCCGCCGACAACTCCCAGGACCGTGCGGTCACCCCGAAGCCCGGCCGACTCACCGCGGTGTGGCCACCACACCGTTTGGGAGCCCCCGACTTCGGCTCTCCTTCGGAGCGCCCGAGCCTCGGGAAACATGGCAAGTTTGCAAACGACAAGGTACTGCAGAATGATGAGATTCAGGACGCGAGCCGTGCCGAACTCGTGCAGTGACTGCCCTCCGGGTGGTGCTGACGGAGTCGTGCAGAACGACGCGGGAGTGTGCTGCTTCCGGAAGCGTCGCTGGACTCGTGCCCCTGGCGCTGCGGGAGCAGCGACTCCAGCATCCAGGATTACTCAGAGGGCGGCTGCTGGGCAACGCAGAATGGATCGACAACGTTGGGCCCGTCACGGCACTCGGGATGTTTTAGGTTATTATGAGACTTTGTCGTTTTTTTGGGGTTGCGATTTGCAAAACTGTCGCTATTTTCGTGGGAACTTCGGAAGCCTAGCGCAATGATGTCTTACGCCAACCGCCATGGGACCTCGCCGCCCCTGGGGGGCTGCGATCTGCGAGTCTGTAGCCACTTTCGTTGGCTCGAGGGAGGCCCGGCAAAGTGACGTCTCACGCAGACTACCATGAGACCTCGCCGTCCCTGGGGGGCTGCGCTCTGCAAGTCTGTCGCCACCTTCGTGGGCTCCTTGGGGGCCCAACAAATTGACGTTTTGTACGGACCACCATGAGACCTCGCCGTCCCTGGGGGGTTGCGATGTGCGAAGCTGTCGCCACTTTCGTGGGTTCCTGAGAGGCCCACCAAACTGGCTTCTATGCAAGCCACCGTAAGACCTCGCCGTCCCTGGGGGGCTGCGGTCAGCAAGCGCAATAATCCACGAGATCGGCACACGCGGCCGGCCTTGCCAAGTTTCCGCGAGACTGAAGGGATGAGGGCCGCACGCGGGGCTTCGGTGCAACTTTGACAGCGACGTCGGCGACGCTGGCAACGAGCGATTGCCAGTCGAGTGTGAGAAGGCTCGCGCCCACATGGCGCGCTGCGCCGCCCCAGGATTGAGCGCGCGGCGCTGTCGCATCATGCAGCGCAGGGCGCTGAGCGGCACGGGGCGCATTGCGCTGTCATCAGTCGCCCACTCCCCCCTCCCCAGTCCCCGCGCGCCTGGCGCCCGCTGCGGTACCACGGGCTAACCCAGCCGATGTAGCGCATTGCGCTGTACCCTCGACAGTATTTCTCCCCCTTCGTTTTCCATCTCTTTTTTCCTCCCCCCTTCCTTTGTCCTCCTTCTCCTTGTCGACTCCTGTCCCCCGTTCTATGTTGCACACGTGTCGTGCGTGGTACAGCATTGATTCGCGACGCCTTCCCGAATTCTGGACATCTCGAACATATCTTTATGCCTTTAACACTCACACACCTAGTCGCCTCACCCGTAGTCTCCACTCCTCATCCTCCTCCTTCTTCCTTCCCCTCCTGCCTCCTTGACTCCCTCGCGCGTACCTTTCATGAGACCTCCCCGAGGCTTGGGGGCTTCGATCTGCGAGTCTGTCGCCACTTTCGCGGTTTCAAGGGAAGCCCAGCAAAGTGACGTCTTACGCAGACCACCATGCGACCTCGCCGTCCTTCTGAGGTTGCCATCTGCGAAATTGTAGCTACTTTTGAAAGCTCATGCGGGGCCCAACACAATGACCTTTTATGCCAACCGCCGTGGGACCTCGCCGCCTCCCGCAAAGCGACGTCTTACGATGACCACCATGAAACCTAACCGTCCCTGGGGGCTGCGATGCGCGAGTTTGTCGCCACTTTCGTGTGCTCCTGAGCGGCCCAGCAGGGAAGTATCTTTCGCAGACCGCCATGGGACCTCGCCGTCCCTGGGGGGCTGCGATCAGCAGAATTGTCGCCTCGTCCGCAGGCTCCTGAAAACCAAATTACGCTACCGAGGAACCCCACATACCTATCTTATTTCCCATGTGTACCATCGGTGCTTCTGCTGCTGCACCTCCTTCTCCTCCTCGGTGTCCTCCTCCTGCTGCTGCTTCTGCTGCTGCTGCTGCGTCTGCTGCTGCAGCTGCTGCTGCTGCCGCTGCTGCTGCCCCACCTCCCCGTCCTCCTCCTCCTCCTCCTCCTCCTCCTCCTCCTCCTCCTCCTC